ACCCGATAAAACACTCCTGCTCGTTTATTAAACAGTACTTAGTCCGGTCTGACATTCGAATTCACTTAGGTAGCAAGGAACTGATACATACTATTATGCTTCGCTTGATCCAAAACGCGAAGTCTTTTTGACGGCACCCGATAACACACTAGCTATTTTTAAATGTTTGATATCTCTATATTCGAGCTTTTGATAAAAAAATGATTCTTACCATTACTGTCTCGCTTTATAGTCAGTCAGGGCCAGCGTGAATTTTACTCACTACAGCATAATAGTGGACTTCAGTATTTCTGTTATTAGAATGGTCATAGGCAAACAATCTTAAAGTAAGCATGAGGAGTCGTGTTCTTTAATTACACTATTTTAGACCAATAAGAATGCATTTCGAAAAACTTGCGTCTCATCGAAATTAAATTTGCTATTTATTAAAGTAAAGAATGATTGAAATGAGCGCATTTTTGAGGCAGAAATCCTTTAGCTTAAAGCCGGCAAAGTTGCCGAATATCTGTACGCCCCCCATCTGCAATTGACTATGATGCAAAGCCGTTTAGCTGCAATCTTTTGGTATGAACAAATAATTTCTTTCTCGCCACTAAACAATCACGATATTTTAGTCAATCTTGTCCAATAAATGCTTATTCTTCAATCTTTGATAGTTTCGTATATGTTTTAAAATCCCTATTCATTCATTCCTATTTTTAGTGCCAGTATATTGAGGGAGGTTGGTTTAAATTGACTTACATTACACCAATGTCAAAGTCCCCTGGGGTGCATCGAGTAGTAGTAATAAAATAATGATATTAGATATTTGAAAAGCGCCATTTCTGTGAGTTCAATATGGCACTTGTACAATTAAAAAAATAAACAAATAAATAAATAAAACGATAAAAAAATGTGTCGATGTCTATTTAAACACCGACGTCCTAACCTACATGGAGTAAAATATAACGAATTTATGAGGATATTGCGATTGTCGATTCTTAGCGAGCGAAAGTATTAAGTAAACTTCAGTTGTAACGTTTTGCTAATTTGAAGACTCGTTACAGACATAGCCAAGAACTACTTCATGACACACAGTCTCTTTCATCATTACTAGATGTTCTTCTTATCTTTCTTTCTTTCTTTCTTTCTTTCTTTCTTTCTTTCTTTCTTTCTTTNTTTCTTTCTTTCTTTCTTTCTTTCTTTCTTTCTTTCTTTCTTTCTTTCTAGCTTTCTTTCTTTGTATCTAGTGGGTTAAAATCTAGGATTTATCTTATATTAATGTGTCTTATCTTCCGTGGGTAAACATTTAGGTCTTTTACTCACAGAACGTACCCTTTGTATGCGCTATTGCACCGATTCTTTTTCATTCAACGGGAGAATGGGTGGGCAAAACGATGTTATCTTGGAAATCAACTTTACCCGCACTCCTGTTTTGGAAGTTTTGCGCTACACTAATAAAATGTTTGGTGGCTAAAGAAATCGGTTTGACATACTGTGTCATTCAATACCCACAGCGTCATGGAATACGTAAACCTGTCTAATTATGTATATAAGTGAGTACCCCCACCCATCCCCTCCCATGAACAAAGCATATTTTCCTTCCACAAGTCTCCCGGTAGATCATTATTATAGATCAACTGAGAAATATAGTATATTCCACGGGAAGGTTTAGACCCGCGGACAACTTCTATCCAATTCTTTTTTTTTTTTTTTTTTTTTTTTTTTTTTTTGGCGTAGTAAACATTGGCGTCTATTTCTGCTTTTTTTGAGACTTTAAATCATCGGCAATTAAAAAAAACCCAAATTATCAATTATTCTGGGCAAAACATACAGTCAAGCTATTAATTTAGGGAAGCCGCATTACCATAACTTTCTAAACTATTCAGTAATTGTTAGATATAATTAAAATCTTTTAAAAGCCTACCTTTAAATTGTAGATTAGTTTGAAGTTATAGAGAAAAAATCACAACATCATAGTTCAATAATATTATATTAGTAAAACACAAGCTGCTACACAAATGACACCAATAGAGTCATTCATATATATCTCGGTAATGTGCACTATTTCATAAGAAGTTCAATGTCGGAAAGTACAATAATGATGATTGCCCCAAGATTGGATTTATTTCGCTACTTCACACACGCCTGAATAACATCCGAAACACGACTACATCAGCAACCATTCATTCGCTCATGCTTTTTATTTTCTTACATTTTTTAACGAGCCCAATCTCAATTCTTGGTTCATGGCTCGACTACTCCCTGATTGCAATCGGCAAACGCTTTATTTTGAAATCTGGAACAATTGAAGGAAACACTTTCGTAATGCCCTATCGCCATCTGTTATCATTTTGTCGGTTCTTGTTTCAAAACCTTGTGTGTGGTAATGTGTTTATGATACTCTAGGAGTTCCGATTTAAACTGCGAATAAGGAAGCGAATTCTGCGAATTGATCCGTCTTTGCCGGATGATAGATATAGTGATATAGGCGGATTTTTGGGAACCAAGGGGATATACACATTATACCGTATGTGTCCCTGCTCTATTAAAAAAAAATGTAACAGCATAGCAAACTAGCTTACGCAGGCTCCGGTCTCTTTCTTTCTTTCTTTCTTTNTTTCTTTCTTTCTTTCTTTCTTTCTTTCTTTCTTTCTTTCTTTCTTTCTTTCTTTCTTTCTTTCTTTCTTTTACTTTTTTAGCAATATCCATATTAACAGTCATTTGTCATGCTTTTTTTCAATGATACAAAATAATTATTACAACTTACAATTCAAGTCAACAGTAAAGATGTTACGAAAAGGATAAAATAAAATGGAAATGAACTTTCTATCTCAGGTGATTTATAATTTGGCATTTTGTGTCAATCGCTGTTCCAGCCAGTTTGTAGCATACTAGTTTTTAAAAAAGTAATACTTGATCTTACATGTTGTGGCATTATTATTGTGGCAAAACTGATACTTCAGGTTATGGAACTGGTTTTCTTTGAAATGTGACACTATTGCTTTTACTATAAACAAAAACTCTTTTTCTGTGTTTGCTAGAGACACAAACAAACCCTCCTATCCAGTTACAGCACAAACGCAATAAAAAAGCACAAAAGCACTGATATTTGTATATATATACACCTAACTAAAACATTCTGCAACTTTACATATATATATATATCTTTAGTTTTTCTATTGTTTCGTCTCTCGAGAATAAAAGACATATATATATATATATATATCTGAAGTTACAGAATTTTTTTGGTTAGGTGTATATATGTATATACACTCGATTGCAGAAACGTTGTAGTATACATTAATATATTTATACGAATATCTAATGAGATGCATAATGCACTGAAATAACCATTTTCAACGCTTAAAACCAACTGATTTATATTCCGTACGATCTAATAGACAAGACAATATTTTGACAGTTATTGTATGAAAGAATAAAGCGATTTTTCTGTTTTGCATATCACTAAATATACAAACAAACAGACACTTGCGCAGTTTGCGTGACAAATTCACGCAAAACTTTTAGCAAAACTTTTGGGCCATACTTTTAGTAGGCCTTTTTAGTATTGAGAGTATTGATAGTACTTTCATTTTTTCAATTTCCTTATCGGAAATCGAAGCAAAACGATTGCCGGCAGATGCCATTTTGTTGCCGACTCAATATTCCGAGATTCAGAGGKGAATATCGTACAATATTCACCTCCAATTAACCAATGAGCGCGTGCATTCTTAGGAAGTACACAAGTTGGTATCTGCTATATACCAACTTGTGTACTTATACGTATATATATACAGCCATTTGCAAAAATTATGGCCGTTTCAAAATACATGCAAGTATATCAAAAGTATATCAGACACGACGGGATATCTTTCTTGATACTTTTTTCAGAAAGCCCTAGTGATAGACAACTCGAAACAAATATCAGGGAAGATATCCCATAATTTTTRATATGCTTTTGATATACTTGTATATATATTGGAAGCGGCCATAATTTTTGCAAATGGCTGTATATATATATATATACACTTGATTGCAAAAAGGCTGTAGTATACATTTATAAATATATCTAATGAGATGCAAGATATCAAATGAGATGCAGAACGTATATATCAGAGACGTTAAAAAGACAAGTTAAAACTTGAAGTTTAATTCACAAAATGTAGTGGTTAAGCAATCGTATTAAGAATGTTTTACGTTCTGCATCTCATTTGACAAAAAAGTCTGAGTTATTAAAAAAAAGAAAAAAACAAAAAAAGAAAGAAAGAAAAATTAGACATATAATCAAATCGGGCGTTCTAAGGAACATTAATTCCGATCTTGGATACGAAACTGAATTATATTGTGAACATATTAGATAATTCTTATTTGATAAAAAGTTGCTCGTGAATCTGTACGACGTGCATGAAATGTCTGACCGAGAAACGGAACTCAATGTTTTGTTTACACACTCAGGCCAGGATTTTGTAGTGTGTCTTTCCTGCTAATGAATTGAGTTTCGAGTTCCATGGAGTTTTATGTTACATTAACACCAACCAGAGTAAAGGATATATTTTTCAAAATTCAGTACATCTTACCGTGCTATGTTAAGCTAGATATAGACCAGGCCATTAACTATGATTAAAGAAAAAAGAAAGAAAAAAATAGCTCGTGTGTCACTCACCTTTCAAATTCAAGAAAATGCTTCAGTGATGACCCAGATTTGCGATAAAAGTTTTGCCAGAACTACAGTTAATCGAAACTTTTAAAATGCATTAACGATATAAAGGATAGAGCTTGCTGGATATAGCCTGTTCGTAGGACTTATTGTAATTAGTTCAGTGAGGAGTTTGAGGTGGAATTTGGCCCAATAGCAAACATCGAATTGGCCTGATTACGAATCAGCTGTCGCACGTCTTGCGAGCAAAAAAGGTATTTCGTGAATAAATTATTCAAATGAATCAAGTACTCATTTTCGACAATTTATAAATATGAAAATCTGAAAGAAACTATGTCAAAAAGCAAGGCAAAAACAGTAAACATGAAAAAAAACACATGATGATTATGATTTAAATTTAAATGATAATATCCGACACACAACAAGTTGCAGAATGTATCCAAAACACCGAAGATCAAATGTCTAATAGTCAGAATTTCCGCATATAAACGTTTGACTATTTCATGAATGGCAAAAGGAAAAATATCAACATTCACCTCCAAAATCAACAAACAAATACTCGAAGGCATAATTAATATTAACTTCAAAAAATATTAAATAATTTTAAATGTTGCAAAGAGTGGGGTACGTAGAATATATTACATCAAAAATAGAAGAAAAAATATTATTTAGACAAGAGGTTGTTTTTTGATATAGATAGAATTACTGAACAGATTTTCGATTAAGAACATTAAGAATGCCGAATAAATCCTTTTCATTTAGTTCCTTGCACCTTGCTATTCATATATTCTTACACATAATTGAATTATTCTTTTTTTTTTTAAGTTGAGTTGTTTATACGAATAGAGCAAGCTGCCTAAACGGAAGAAATCTGGACAATCAAGGAAATGAGAGATATTTAATCTTACTAATCGTAGCAATATTCAAATATATTATCAAATGTTATTAGAAAAATCAATGTAAAAACTGTCACTGACAAAACATTAATGAAACCCAAAAACTTGAACATGAAATACACTAGACAGTTCACTTTTGCAAATGTATTATTATACATGAGTTAGAAGATGCGTGATAAACTACTAGTGCAAGTTCTGTATGAAAAAAGTTGAAATTTAGCGTGGGTGTCGGCAATCTTGTTTAATGATAGCAAATCAGATATAGGCTAATAGCTTGTTAATGTATTTAACGACCCTACTGCGCATGTCTTGAACGAAACGGATATCATTGATTCTTACATGTTTGCTCACGTTCGCTTTTCTTTTGTTTTAGATATTATGTCAGGAAACACAATAATTTCACTTTAATTTAAACTCGATGCCAGAGTGTTCAAACTAAACTACGTCTTATTTTGAGTGTTACACTACAACCCCGCCGGCCCAAAAAAGAAATTAGTTCGTTCGAGAGATTTCTCATAATCTTTTTTACATCTCCTCAGCAGGCAACTCTCACTTTATGCAAGCAGCCGTAAACAGGTTTCGGGCTTGGGGTTCCTATGCAGTATAAAATAAATTATCCGGCGAATAAAGTGAAGGAGGATGAAAGTTGTCTGTAGAAGAGGCCAATTAATGAGCCGGGGAATATTCCGCCTTTATAGGGAGGAGGTGGACTAACGATGCTGAGAATTTTAGTATGTATGGTAAAAATTCAGAAGTGGGTATTCCTCGTTATCAATTGTTTTAGGGTTTGAAATCATATGTCACACGGGTAAAATGCCTAAATATTCATGGATTTACAATATTTTGCATTGCTGGAAAAAGAATCAACGATTTTTTGCAACCTTATAAACCTTATTCCTACAGACTTTACTGCTGATTGCTGAGGCAATCGGAGTTATTTCTTTACGGAAATAAAAACTATCATAATAAGCAACGCCATCAGAAAGATTAATCAGAAAATGTATGTATTTCTTGGAAATAAAATTAAAATCTCACAGAGCCGGATCCAGAAGTTTTAGAAAGGGGTTGGTGACTATTACAAAGGTATAACAGGAATGCGAGTAAAAGAGGTGTTGTTTACTGAAGATAATACTGAGAAATTTGAGCAAAATCGGGTGATTAGCCACCCCCTTCACCGCCCCTAGATCAGTCCCTAGTCTCATTGTTATAGCAGAAGTTCCAGAAAATTACCTAATATTTGTAATAAAAATTAGTAGTGACGGATATATTTGTATATGTTCACTCAACTAAGGACTTACAAGCCTCGTTCTGGTGTTTGCCACATTTAAATTATCATAACGTCTAATGGAATTTTATGTTTTTACCTCAAACGTTCAAGCTTTGTTGAACATTCTAATCTATAATTTTAATAATTATTATTTACAGTTAATATTCGACTCTCGTTTAATAAGCAAGACTTTTGTTGTGGAGAGAATCATATGTCCATCGGAAAAAGAAAGTACGAATAAGAGATCACTGTAAATAATAAGTGCTGCTACATCAGACCGCTTGCAAAAGTCGACATCTGATCCATGCCGCCGTTGCTGAGTTATCATCCTCGGCAAAATAGCGGATCTTGACAAAGTTAGTTACTGCATTTGAATAATCATGATTCTTTCGCTACTTTTTGATTACAAATACAACATAAACACCACCAAAGTGGGGACAAGATTTCAGTCATTACATAAGGCTTGAAGACATCTCGACGTATACGGCTTAGTTTTGGAAATCTTTTCATTCCAATTGGTTGACGAAAGGCCTAATTAGTGGTATTATAATTAGTCAGGCTCTTCTTTACACTTCCGAGGTTTTACATTTCTATCTATGGGTTCCTGTTGTCTGTCTCTTGTTACTGTTGCAGAAGTCAAGATTTTTCTAATACTCCACTTTCGAGTTCTCTGTTGCATGCTAAGCAGTGTTAAGGGTTCTCGATTTTGAAAAATATTCACGCGTTCCATTGAAGGTCCGTGAAATTTCAAAGTGTT